CAGTACGGAACTAATACGGAGCTTGCCTGATGTATATTTAGTGTATCTCCGTATGTAAGCGTACGTCGTCTGCTGCATAAAAGCGGCTGCGCATTTCTGTTTTGATGAAGAGAAGAGAAGATTAGATTAGATTGGATAGCAATGAAAGCTAACTCGAAGAATAAGGATTCAGCCTCTAGGTGAGCACCGGAGAGAAAGTTATTTATTTTGCCGCTTCTTCTTGCAATAACGATTATATCTCAGGTGTGTACCTGAAAGTAGAATAAAAGTAATTCTTGTTAATTGCACCGCGCCTACCACTCGGCTACCCATTACATTGGTGGCAGCGGTGTAGTTTTAAATAAAACAACGTGATTCGACCCCAGACCCCCATGGCTCCACCCGCTGCAGCTCCGTGCGACGAATCAAGATGAGAATCGTGTTTCATGCTTTCCTGGGCCTGGCCATGCTTATTAGCCTGCAGCACAGTCAGGGTGCTAACGTGGATCACCATTCTTTCCGCACGGCACTCACTGGAGACTCCGATGGCGATTCCAAGCGACCCGCTACCAACATGTTAACTACTGGTGGTGATGGCGAAGCTGATGAGGACGACAACAGGCAGGCTGCTGCCCAAGACAAGGAGGGTATTCCCCAAGACCAGCAGCGTTTGATTTTCGCCGGCACGCAGTCGGAAGCAGGAGCCCACTCTTCACTTTGGTACTTCGCCTCCGTGGTGGAATGCAGATTTTCGTCAACACTCTTCCTGGCTAGACCATCACTCTTTACGTCACGCAAAGCGATGCTATTGACAATGTGAAGACCACGATTCAAGACGAGGAGGGAGGTCATTTGTCTGACGCCGAGCTAGCCGCTCTGAGTGACCGGCTCAACCAAGATGAAGATAAAACGTGGCTTGCTCTCCGCCGTAGCTCCAGCCGCCGCCGTGGTTACTAACGCTGATTCCAGGTATGGCATTTTCTTTCCTGTCTTCCTTCAGTCTCCCTGTTCTCTTCAATCTTCCTTTATGCGAGTGTGTGAATCCAGTTTAGTTTGGTAGGCGTCTGATCATGGTGAGCCACGGCTTACCCAGCTAACGTGGGACAATGTGTGTGACAACGCCCCTTATAGTTATAGTGTGTTCAGTTCGGTTTTTGAACTGCGATGTTCCTGGCGGGTTGTGCCAGCGTTGTGCAGCAAGAGTGCTGTAGTTTTTCAGGTCCTATTTGGAGGACAGTTCTTTCCCCTTTTGACCCCGTGAGATCGTGTGAACCTGGTGTGCTTCTACTTTATGATTTGTTATCAGTTCATTTCTTCTGTCTACTCTAAACGTTATCATTTCCGATATAACCGACGAGGAGACAACAGTCGTAAAATAGCAATGAAAAATATCAATTGTGCACTCATAATCATGTATAAACAATTAAAATGAAACAATTCCACATTCACATTCATCTACTGCTACCATTCTCAGATACACTGCAAAGGTTCACACTACACGCGTTATGCATAACCGCTAGCTGTGCTGCATTCTCACGCTTCTTTTCATGTTACTCTAGCTATATAACTGGTTGTTTTAGTGATTCTTACTATGTGACGATGTTCCACTGATGATGGTCACACGAAAACGTTCTGGAATTGTTTCATTTTAATTGTTTATACATGATTATGAGTGCACAATTGATATTTTTCATTGATATTTCCGATATAATTTGCCATCTTCCGGGTGACGCTGTTGTTCATAACTCTTCACTAATTTTTGAGAATCACGAGGGCGTGATTATCTGTAGGAAGGGAGGGTGTAGTATCCCTGCCCGACCAATACGGAAGCAGTACGGAACTAATACGGAGCTTGCCTGATGTATATTTAGTGTATCTCCGTATGTAAGCGTACGTCGTCTGCTGCATAAAAGCGGCTGCGCATTTCTGTTTTGATGAAGAGAAGAGAAGATTAGATTAGATTGGATAGCAATGAAAGCTAACTCGAAGAATAAGGATTCAGCCTCTAGGTGAGCACCGGAGAGAAAGTTATTTATTTTGCCGCTTCTTCTTGCAATAACGATTATATCTCAGGTGTGTACCTGAAAGTAGAATAAAAGTAATTCTTGTTAATTGCACCGCGCCTACCACTCGGCTACCCATTACACTAGTAAACAAATACAGCATAACGTAAAAAGGTTTGTCCTAGTAAACAAATACAGCATAACGTAAAAAGGTTTGTCCTAGTAAACAAATACAGCATAAAGTAAAAAAGGTTTGTCCTAGTAAACAAATACAGCATAACGTAAAAAGGTTTGTCCTAGTAAACAAATACAGCATAACGTAAAAAGGTTTGTCCTAGTAAACAAATACAGCATAACGTAAAAAGGTTTGTCCTAGTAAACAAATACAGCATAACGTAAAAAGGTTTGTCCTAGTAAACAAATACAGCATAACGTAAAAAGGTTTGTCCTAGTAAACAAATACAGCATAACGTAAAAAGGTTTGTCCTAGTAAACAAATACAGCATAACGTAAAAAGGTTTGTCCTAGTAAACAAATACAGCATAACGTAAAAAGGTTTGTCCTAGTAAACAAATACAGCATAACGTAAAAAGGTTTGTCCTAGTAAACAAATACAGCATAACGTTAGAAGTTGTACTTAAGACTACAGACTGTACATTGTACTTGTACAGAGTTTTCCCTTCAATCATCATGACGTCATTACACATAACACTAGACATAACAACCCAGTGGCATTGAGTTCAGAATGGAAACTTTTACCAATAGAATACACAGTCTTGAGATCCAAAGTCAGCTCCTGAAGGGTGGTATGGTCCCAGGTCGGTTACAGGGACACTGATTTGCCAATACCCAATTTCAGTATTAGCAAGTTCACTTGCACGCAATTCTTTTCCTTCTTACATGACGTGTAGAAAAAGACATTTTGTCAGAGATTCTCCCACATATCCACTATGAGATAAACAGCAATGTAGAATACAGACTTCACTGTATGTAAACTATGCTACACATCAACACTGTCTAACTGCATGTATAAGTAGTTTTGTTCTCACTAGGATCTGTGTTGAGATGATGAGCTGACAAAGTAGCAAACATTTCAGTGAGTCTGTACCTCTAGTCTACGCACAGTATCAAGTGTAGCACATACATGTACATGTAGTATAAGTACAGCTGGACAGCGTTTTCCATTATCTAAACTCACTGTTGCAAACCACCAGTTCTCAAGTGGGAAAGGCCTTCGCGCTTATGGCATTGTATTCGTTGCAATGTTGTATTGCGACTCCGCCGTACCGCTGATGTTGCTGCATGGCATACGCTATATGCGCTGTGTGCGGTTTGCAGTATACTACAGTCCATTTCAAAACTATAGACGCGTACCTAGGCAAAAACCGTTATGCCAGTATCTATACCACATAAAATCTGTGATCACTTTGTGCATAAATTTTTCCAAATTGGGCGTCTGTTATCCAATCCTTTAGAAACTATATGCGAGTAATTGTGGAGCGATCCTGAGCAATATTCCGAAAACTATTCTCAAAAAGGTCCAGCCAAATTTGAAATATTTCAAAAACCCTACGCGTCTATAGTTTTGAAATGCACTGTAGTACCCTGTCATGTCATGTTTTATATGCGTATGTTTTGAATCAGAACTTTTGATATACATGTACGCTGTTTTGCATGCTATAAATAGCTGGTGTTATTAGTGTTCATTGTTAATTATCAGATGAAATGAAATATACTGTGGAAAAGAAAAGAGTTGTCCTCGTGCCGTGTGGTCGTTCGATCCTGACAATTTAGATTATCTCAGAGGGTTCATAACACTCACTGTACACAAGAGAGAGTTTGGAAGCTTGGAAGCTTCCAAACTCTCTCTTGTGTACAAGGCTCTGCCCTACATGGGCATTGAGCACTCTTCGGACAGTGAATGAAGCACACCACTTGACTACGTTAACACTCACTGTACAGAGTTTGGGCAGATTTCAATGTTTGCCAAATTAAAGACTGAAAATGGCCGGAGAAACGTTCTTTACTGGTATGGAGTCATAATTTCACGACATTCCTGTTTGGCCATTGCTGTTGGAAATGAACAGATCTGGGTAGTGCGGTTTGAACACAAACTTCGTAACTACACGTACCTGATTGTAGTATGTAAGTTTCACGATGACAGTGTGAACAAGGTGGACTACGCACTGTATGGGAAAACACTACTCCAGGCTCACTGCAACCATACACCGGTTGCCGGGTAGGGTCTCGATCTTGTGCCCATTTGAACCGTATGGGGTTATGCCCCTGTTCAGACACTCACTACTCTATTGGAGCATTATATTATAGGAACATTCCCTGATCTCGTGGTTCAAATGGTCGCAAGACCGGGCCCGCCAACCAGTTTATGGTTTCAGTCAGGAACACTGTTTTGGGTCCTCCACCTTGTTCACGCTGTCATCGTGAAACTTACATGTAACTTGTTAGTCCCTGGATTGACGACTGTAGTGGTGCCGAATACTACCGATTCCCTGGAATGGAGTCAGGGAATCACTGGTTCATTCACATCTATGATCTAGATCCTGTCAAAGTTGTCACGGCAATGACATCATGTGTGCGACGAAAACTAATTCAGTTTTTCATAGTTTTTTTCATTGAATGAATGGAATATTTTTATGACCGGCTGGAAGTGTGTTGGTCAGTGTATCCAAAACGTGATCGAGGCAAACGTCAGGTCTGTCAGTATCATCAGTGAATATTGTGGCAAATGTTACACGTTCCGACCCTACATCATCTTGGAAATAAGTTAGTGGACAACAACGCATACTGCGGTGTAAACCTTTGGTCCTTTCCTTCTTCTAAGTAATTCTATTCTAATCTTGGTTTCAGATCAGACTGGCAAAGAGCCATGCTTCTCTCACCACCATCATCTATACTTTACGCACGTGGCCTAGTAGATCAGGTAGATGCATGGCTGATGATACTCACATAGCTGACTGATACCTGTACATCAGGTAGTGTCTGGTGCATAGGCGGACACTCATCCACGACTTGGCTGGTATTGTGACGTAGGTTTCGTGCCTCCAGGACTCATTGCTCACTGTGTGATCAACCATGCGTAAGCTGCACTACAGTGTATACGTTATGAGTGTGATGTAGCAGTTAGCTATGTGCATATCACCAGACATTCATCCACATGATGCTATACGCAAACAGAGCAGAGTAGGAATGGGTGATTAGGATAATGATGTACATGTATGCAGTCCTGGAATAGAATCTACCGTAGGAGAACAGTTTGCATGTGTGAGTGTGTGTGTGTGCATGTGTGCGTGTGTGTGTATGTGTGTGTGTATGTGTGTGTGTGTGTGTGTGTGTGCGTGTGTGTGTGTGGGGGGGGGGGTATGTGTTATTTGTTTCATTCAGATGCAGATCCGCTATCATTGCAATAGGAGAAATTCTGTGCGTGCAGATCAACTAATTTTGCACATGTGCGTGCTTTTCTTGCGACTGGCGCATACATGGCACATGGAATGATGGTGTGCGTGCCTGTGTGTGTGTGTGTGTCTGTGTTTCATGCGCGTTTCATCACCAGTGTGTTCGCATCATCGTTGGCATCTCCAAGTGGGACCAGTGGGACAACCGCGTCAACTCCATTATCATGGCCAGAACTCTTGGCATTGACTGTGATGTCGCGGACATCATCCGAGAATATCGACTGCGTTGGCTTAAACATGTTGGCCGGATTAACGACGACCGTATGGCGAAGCGAGTTTTGTTCGGGGAGCTTCCTGCAACGCTTCCTCGCCATGGTCCACGCAAGCGGTGGCGTAACGTCGTCGTAGATGACCTCCACTCCATCAGCCCCCCTGTGCATTCTTTATGCTGGTTTGCTGCTGCCCAGGATCGCTCTGCCTGGAGGCAGATTGCTCATCGTCGTCCTCCCGCCCGTGCTCCCCCTGATCCTGACTCTGGCTTCCGCTGCGCATGTGGAAAGGTCTGCCGTTGTCCCGGGGATCTCAAGCGCCACGCTCCGTACTGCAAAGCTAGCAGACAGCCCATTCGCTATCATTGCCATGGGCAATGGGCACATTCAAGGTTCAAGGTGTGTGTGTGTGTGTGTGTGTGTGTGTGTGTGTGTGTGTGTGTGTGTGTGTGTGTGTGTGTGTGTGTGTGTATCAGCCTTGCAAGATGTTGAATGGTGTAATCCCAACACAAGTTGCTATGTTGAACATATCTCTTCGCTATCATCGCTTCCGCGTTGGGCAGGTCAGACGTGTGTGTATGTACATGGCACTCAATCTGCGGACGGAACTGTTTCGTTCTTTGTGGACTCATCAGCGCAGCACAGAGAAAATGAGGCAGAACCTGAAAGCAATGAAAGATAAAATTTCCAAAGCCAGATTCTAACCAGGCCCGAACGTACCCTGCCAGAGTGCTCAAACTGACAAGTCAGTGAGCTGTGCATAACACAAACAGCAAAGACACTACTACACCACCATACTTACCAACCACATCAGAGTGCTAGGTACATACTCAATCTGCGGACAGCATGCTGTTTTGTTCTTTGTGAAATTCTCAGCACAGCACAGAGAGAATGAGGCCGAACCTGATAGCAATGAAAATAAAATTTCCAAAGCCAGATTTAAATCAGGCCCGAACGAGAGTGAAATGTACATGCATGGTGTTAGTTGTCAGCATGTTACAAGGCGGAGGACCACCACGTTGGGAAATAGTGATCTTTCTACAACCATCCACAGTTGGTAGAGCCCCGGTGTTGATGACTATGATCATCTGAAACAACATGTACATGTAATACAATTGCATGTACATGTATTACGGAACCTGGTTCAAGGACATCGAGCATAAGGAACAATACTCAATTGTCTCATTTGACAACGTCGAATTCTATCCATCGATCCGGATTCCGCACGTGTAATTATCATGACAATATCCTAGCGGTATCGATCTCAGAGCAGCTCCTGAAAGCGACGCTCGAGTTTGCAACGCTATTCACTGCTATCCCCAGCGTGGCGTCGATACGATTATGCATGCCAGAAAATCCCTATTATTCACAGGCGACTCGTGACAAGGTACGGGCCAAGAAGAACAGAGAAGGTTTATTCAACGTCACGATGGGGAGCTATGATGGCGCGGAATGTTGTTGTTGTTGTTTTTGTTGTTGTTGTTGTTGTTGTTGTTTTTATTTGAATTCGCAAAATGAAACGGTTACATCTACGTGGAAGCGAATAAAAGAATTCTAAGAATGAGGCATTGTGGTGAATATTATTTCAAGTGAAAATATTGATTCCGGGAGGTACTACAAATAGGTACAATGAAAATCTAAAAAGGCCATGGTACTGTCGTTTACCATGCTGCAAGCAGCTACTAGTACATGTAGAAGGAAAAACAACAAGAAAGACGTTTTATCTCATGTATTGGACAAACAGAGCTAACAGGAAAAGACCGTTCGTTAAAATGCCTATACATACTGTCCTTGTGTGTGTGTGTGTGTGTGTGTGTGTGTGTGTGTGTGTGTGTGTGTATGCATATCACTGTTTCTCTACTTTAAAAACGTTTATGGCCTGAGAGTGTACGGGTACACAGCTGCTGCGAAATCGGGCACGGCTTTGCAGGAACGTACACTGGATGGCAGAGTGTTCCACAGCGCAAGTCCACGGAAGAACGGTCGGCGAGTGCCTATATTCGTCCTGACCAGCGGCAGAATGAGCCCGGCGTTGGCTTGATGTCGAGTTGTGGCCGTGGTTGCGGGCGTCAGCTGCTTTGAAAGCGCTGTACTACATAGGCCGTTCAGACCGCGCCAGATGAGAGAGAGAGAGAGAGAGAGAGAGAGAGAGAGAGAGAGAGAGAGAGAGAGAGAGAGAGAGAGAGAGAGAGAGAGAGAGAGAGAGAGAGAGAGAGAGTGAGAGAGAGAGAGAGGGAGAGAGAGAGAGAGAGAGAGAGAGAGAGAGAGAGAGAGAGAGAGAGAGAGAGAGAGAGAGAGAGAGAGAGAGAGAGAGAGAGAGAGAGAGAGAGAGAGAGAGAGAGAGAGAGAGGGAGGGAGGGAGGGAGTGTGTGAGAGAGAGAGAGAGAGAGAGAGAGAGAGAGAGACAGAGAGACAGAGAGAGAGAGAGAGAGAGAGAGAGAGAGAGAGAGGGGGAGTGAGAGAGAGAGAGAGAGGGAGTGAGAGAGAGAGAAAGAGAGAGAGAGAGAGAGAGAGAGAGAGTGAGAGTGAGTGAGAGAGAGAGAGAGAGAGAGAGAGAGAGAGAGAGAAAGAGGGAGGAAGAGTGAGAAAAAGAAGAAGAAGACACGCACGCACAAAACCACGAAAAAAACTAAATACAGAACTGGATCGTAAAACAGCTACATTGTATTTTATTGCTAACATGTAACCAACAACACCAGCAGAAACGTTTGAAAAACCTATATTTATAGGTAATGGATAGTTGCTAAGGGTATGCGCCCCAGAACGCAACAGCGCAAGTTCATAAGTGACATACGAACTAGATTATCGACAGCCATAACCGGTTAGAAGGCTAAACATGTTTGGGTTAGAGGCTGGTGATGAACAATGTGGACAATTGTTTGGCTAGCAGTCTAGTACTGTCAAGTCTGAGAAGATACCGCCCCTTTCTTGTAGGATTGTTCAGCGGATATGCGCCATAGCCACAAAGCCTACAATAAACAAACATACACGCACACACGCACACGCGTGCCCACACTCACAAACACACACACGGAGGATTGGCCAGCCACCTCTTCACCCTCAAGGAAAGCAGCGTTTGCACTAGGCACCTGCGGCGGTGCGCACACGTGCAAGCACTGGCTAAATCACTTCCGGCAACTCAAGTGACGGCTAATACTGTTTTTCAGATTGAAGCGGCAATCACGGCACATATACGTTATTGTGTAGGGCTGCAAGGTATCCGGGGTGTTACCTACCATCAGTGATCCATTGATCTGAAACGGGTGGAGCACATCATTCCACAATGGGACTGGACAGAGTTTTGGAGTTGCCGAGAATGATAAGGCCACGCTTGGTGTGTGTAAGTACCACGTTCAGGCGGTTGGTTGGTTGGTTTTTATTTCACTTCGCACATTCAAACGGGATGACGACCCAATAAAATGACGGCGAAGGCTTAGCCTAGAAGTGGCTATGGAAGAACATAGTAAAAGCTATGGAAACACATAGTAAGAGAATAGGATACTAATAACTGCGGGTAAACGGGGGGAGAGAGAGAATACGATGTATCTGTGATACTACGTGCGGGTTACTGAACTGCACGGGGAGGGAGAGCAGAGCGATCAGCAGCAACTCGAACTACTCCCTACAGGCGTATGGTACACATGCATGCTGCGGCGGACATCGCTCACAACGCCAATGGAGTCGGACGGATTGCTGCGAACACACGAGGTGATAATAGTGAGGTTTTGCATTCCGAAATTCGCCAAAAGATTCGGCACGCAGGAGCGAGGTTCTTCTCGCGGCCCTGGATTGGAAGCCGTTGACGCTGCCCACTTGGACGCGATTTGCCTGCACTTTCAGCATGCAGGCACTCGGTGCAGGCACTCGGTGCACAGTTTGCCTTTGCTGTTTGCATTATGCAGAGCTCACTGACTTGTCAGTTTGAGCACTCTGGCAAGGTACGTTCGGGCCTGATTGGAAATTTTTATTTCCATTGCTATCAGGTTCGGCCTCATTTCCTCTGTGCTGCGCTGACGAGTCCACAAAGGACGAAACAGTTCTGTCCGCAGATTGAGTATATATATGCAGAGCTCACTGACTTGTCAGTTTGAGCGCTCTGGCAAGGTACGTTCGGGCCTGATTGGAAATTTTTATTTCCATTGCTATCAGGTTCGGCCCCATTTCCTCTGTGCTGCGCTGATGAGTTCAAAAAGAACGAAACAGCATGCTGTCCGCAGATTGAGTATTTCGCTCCTGCTCTTGTAGCAGTTGAGCACTCTTGCGTGGGGTAGTGCCTTTGCTGTTTGCGTTATGCAGAGCTCACTGACTTGTCAGTTTGAGCACTCTGGCAAGGTACGTTCGGGCCTGATTGGAAATTTTTATTTCCATTGCTATCAGGTTCGGCCCCATTTCCTCTGTGCTGCGCTGATGAGTTCAAAAAGAACGAAACAGCATGCTGTCCGCAGATTGAGTATTTCGCTCCTGCTCTTGTAGCAGTTGAGCACTCTTGCGTGGGGTAGTGCCTTTGCTGTTTGCGTTATGCAGAGCTCACTGACTTGTCAGTTTGAGCACTCTGGCAAGGTACGTTCGGGCCTGATTGGAAATTTTTATTTCCATTGCTATCAGGTTCGGCCCCATTTCCTCTGTGCTGCGCTGATGAGTTCAAAAAGAACGAAACAGCATGCTGTCCGCAGATTGAGTATATATATATATATATATATACTCAATCTGCGGACAGCATGCTGTTTCGTTCTTTTTGAACTCATCAGCGCAGCACAGAGGAAATGAGGCCGAACCTGATAGCAATGGAAATAAAAATTTCCAATCAGGCCCGAACGTACCTTGCCAGAGTGCTCAAACTGACAAGTCAGTGAGCTCTGCATAACGCAAACAGCAAAGGCACTACCCCACGCAAGAGTGCTCAACTGCTACAAGAGCAGGAGCGAAATACTCAATCTGCGGACAGCATGCTGTTTCGTTCTTTTTGAACTCATCAGCGCAGCACAGAGGAAATGAGGCCGAACCTGATAGCAATGGAAATAAAAATTTCCAATCAGGCCCGAACGGACCTTGCCAGAGTGCTCAAACTGACAAGTCAGTGAGCTCTGCATAACGCAAACAGCAAAGGCACTACCCCACGCAAGAGTGCTCAACTGCTACAAGAGCAGGAGCGAAATACTCAATCTGCGGACAGCATGCTGTTTCGTTCTTTTTGAACTCATCAGCGCAGCACAGAGGAAATGAGGCCGAACCTGATAGCAATGGAAATAAAAATTTCCAATCAGGCCCGAACGTACCTTGCCAGAGTGCTCAAACTGACAAGTCAGTGAGCTCTGCATAACACATAAACATTACACAGTGAGCTCTGCATAACGTGAGCTCTGCATAAAATATATATATATATATATATATATATGTCAACAAACAATGGATCACTCGTAATATTTCGCTACTCCGAGTTTCATGCACTGTGTGCAATCATCAGGCGAACAATATTCAATGCAGACTGGTCAAAGCATAATGGGAATTTAAGGTGGATGCAGGCGGAAGCAAGTGTAAGGCTTAGCGGGACCCCTGATACGTAATCAATGGGCTAACTTGCCGGCTGAGAAGTGTGTGAAGCTGAGTG